TTTTTTGAGTTTTTTGAGACAGGGTCTCACTATGTAGTTCAGACTGCTCTGGAACTCACTGTGTAGCCCAGGCTGGTCTAGGACTCACAGCGATCCTCCTGCCTCAGCCTCTCAAGTTCTGGGATTACAGGCGTGTGCTACCACGCCTGGCAAATATTTCTGGTTGCGAAAAACCCAGTTTTATTTTTTTGTTTGTTTTTGTTTTTTTGGGTACCAGGGATCGAACTCGGGTCCCTGTGCTTGCAAAGTAGGTGCCGGAACCACTGAGCTAAATCCCAGGCCCACCTATCACATCTTGATAATTTTTACTTTCCTCCTCCTCCTCGCCTTCTGGTCTCCCCCACCCCAGGTCCTCTTGAAATCTCTCAGGGTTGATAGACAAGCAGGGTTGCTGCTCTGGGGCTCGATTGGGCTTTCCTCTAGCAGAGAGGGGTTGCCTGACCTGTTCATTCCGAACTCCTCTCCAGCTGCTCCTGGAGCATCAGGGACTGCAGGACATGCCCGATAAACTACACTGAAGTATACAGGTTTCCTCATGTTACTCATGTGGGTGCTTCAGGGTAGTGTGGGCTGCGGGTGTGCTCAGTGGCAGAGTACTTACCTTGAGTGCAGGAGGCCAAGTTTGGTCCCCAGCACTGTACAGATTCCAGGTAGGCGTGGTGGCCCATACCTGTAACCTCAGCACAAGGAGGCGCAGGAGGAGCTAATTCACTTGCTTTTCAGAAAATGAGAATAGTATAACTTGTTTCCCTTCTCTGTTCCTAGTGGGTGCTTATAATGGATTCTTCTCATTTTTCTCTTTACATTTAAGTAGCCCTGGGCCGGAGATTTAGCTCAGTGGTGCCGCCTCCTGCCTTGCAGTTGCAAGGACCTGAGTTCAATCCCTAGTACCAAAAATAAATAAATAAATAAATAAATAGCCTTATTCCACTTTTTCCTCTAAATTTCTTATTTTGAACAAAAATTTAAAATACTTTTAGCACATGCCTGTAATCCTAGCACTTGGGTTGACTGAAGCAGGAGTTCGAGGCCAGCCTGAACTACAAAGTGAGACCCTGTCTCAAAAAAAAAAAAAAAAACTTTCATACTTACTTAGTTGGGGTATAAATCTTTAAGTAAGTATGAAGCCCTCTTGTTTGGCTTTTCACTATCTACCTTTGGCATTCTGGGTCGAGACTTGTTATATTCCCTTTAGCTATTACAAAAAACACTCAGTACGCATTTGTGACCGTAAAACAGGGAGTTCTGCCAGGGACAGACCTGTAATCCAACTAATTGGGAAGCTAAGGCAGGAGGATAGCAAGCTGGGGGCTAGCTTGGGCAATTTAGCAAAAAACGAAGTCTCAAAATTTGAAGAAGGGCTGGACATTTAGCTTAGTGGTAAAGCTTTTCTTGCCATGACCCTGTGCTCAAGCCTCAGTACTGCAGTTCAGCCAGTCCATCAATTGAGCAAGCGTGCAATTCTCAGGTGAGATGCTGGCGACTGCTTCCGCTTTCTTTCTGCTCCCCACTCCTCACTCTTTCCTAAGAACAGTTATTTTTTTTTCTCTGCTCCTGTTTACCTGTCTGTCCTCTCTCTCTCTACAGTGTGAAATGGTCACCAGTGACAGACAGAGAGACCTAGAAGTTAATTTCAAAGAATTGAGAACAACGAAAACAAAGCCAGAACTACTGAGTAGCCCTATTCCCCCAGGCCACATCCCGAAACCCATTGTGATGCCTGACTATGTGGCGTGAGTATGGGTCTGACTTCCGGGGGTAGCACTTGAGGGGCCCCACTCCTAAGACATCTGTGTCAGGGCTGACAGGTGAATCAGAGGTGGTGTGGGGCCCATAGAGAGTAAGCTAAGCCAATTTTCATTGAGCTTGTTCCAGTGAAACTTACGTTTATGCTTTTCCCTTAGAAAATACCCTATGATTCAGACAGACGATGAACGAGAGCGCTACAAAGCCGTGTTCCAGGACCAGTTTTCAGAGTACAAGGAGCTGTCTGCGGAAGTTCAGGCTGTCCTCAGGAAGCTGGACGAACTGGATGCCGTGATGAGTAGGTTGCCACACCACTCCGAAAACCGACAGGTCAGTGTCTGCAGCTCCCTGAGGTAGAGGGGACACTGAGGTTTAGAGGACAGACACACTGACCGTTTCAAAAATCCAGAACCATCTGTCCGCTATCTAGGAAAGCATTTGAGATCATCAAGATAATAACTGGTGCGGATTACTGTTTAGCAGGGCGTGGGGTCACACACCTGTAGTCCCAGCACTCAGGAGGCTGAGGCAGAATTGCCTGAGTCCAGCCTGGGCAACATAGCGAGACCGAATCTTCGGAAGAGGGGCGTAGAAAGAGCAAGCAGGCCCCAGTGTCCATTTGAGCACAGCTGAGAGGGAAGCGGAGGCTGGCTGAGAACTGAAGCCAGAAGCCGGTCTGTGACTCATGGTCTCAGCGCAGGGCCCAAGGTCTTCACTTGTGTACTTGGTGTGGACTCGATTTGGACAGCATGCTCTCCCCATGTCAAGGCAACTTGCCAGATGGAAGGGTCCTGGGTACAGCAGAGCGGAGAGGCTGACATAATGTTCCTGTACTGCAAGCCAGTCATTTCCAAGGGTCTGTAACATGACACAGCCAGCGAGTGAACAAGTGACAGTCCCGCAGGTGTCACCAGCATCTCCTGCTGTCCTTACTAATGTCGAGGGTTGGCTGTACCCAAAGTTAACTTCTCAGGCTGGGCAGTGGTCTGCAGAGCTCAGTCATGGTCCCGCCATGACCCCATGGAAGGGTGGGAGGATTGTTGTGAGTTAGGGCTGTCCTGGGCTACACAGTGAGTTCAAAGCCAGTCTGGGCTACACAGCAAGATCCTGTCTCAAAAAAAAAAAAAAAAAAAAAAAAAAAAAAAAAAAAAAAAAAAAAAAAAAAAAAAAAAAAAAAAAAAAAAAAAAAAAAAAAAAAAAAAAAAAAAAAAAAAAAAAAAAAAAAAAAAAAATGTTGGGAAGAGAGGATGTGGGTAAGTGGTGGGGAAGCTTTTAGAACTAAAAACTGCTACAGTTTATTTTTTTGTAATCTAACTTTTGTAGCCCTCTACATAGTTTACATAGATACCATGAGGGCATTGCTGTAATAATCTGTTCCCTTTGGATAGATTTAACCTGTCAACTATATTTACTGTAAAACTTGGAACAAAATTACAAGGAACTTATATTAGGTATTTTCAAAAGTCAGGGCCTCTACCTCCTAATACCAGCATCTAATTACTTGAACTTTCCAAAGGGAATAATAAGTGATTATAATAGCTACTTCAAGAACTGAGTGCAGTGGGGCAAACCTATAATCCTAGGACTCTGGGAGGCTGAGGCAGGAAGATCGCAAGTGTTCTAGCCCAGCCTGGGCAGTTTAGCAAGACCGTCTCAATCCAAGGTTCCAGGAGAGCTTGGGGGTAGCTGAGTGTAACAGCACAGAGTTCACTCCCTAGTACCACCAAAAAGAAAGAAAGAAAGAGAAGGAGGGACAGGGAGAGGAAGAGGACCTTCTGTGGTTATTATGTACCAAGCACTTTACTTGTAACTGAACCTTGCCACAACCCCTGGAGGTTCTTTCGGTTATGATTCCCATTTTACTGATCAGGATTCTGAGTCTTACAGAGGGAGAATAGCTTGTGAGGGTCCCACAGCAGGGAGTGATGGCGCCAGGATGGGGTCTAGCCTTGCTCTCTACCATCCACGAGTCCCGGGGACTGCAGGTAGAGGGCCCTCAAGTATGTGTCCAGTTAATTAGATTTTGTATGTGAATATTCTCATAATTTTAAGTTCAAATTGTGTTCTTTCTAATATACCCAGTGTTGAGACATGATTTGAACAAATGCAAATTTTTTAACTCAAATGTACAATGTATTATTTTTAGGAACATGAGAGAATTTCCAGAATCCATGAAGAGTTTAAGAAGAAGAAGAATGTGAGTAAAACAGTTTTCTTTCTCGCAGTGTATTCTTAGCCAAGTACTTGGGGGATCATTGCCAGACTTCAGAATCTTTTAGCGGAAGTACAGTCATCCTCCTTGTCCCTGATCTTGTTTTCAAAGATCCACAGTTCAGCAGTATCCGAAAATAATAGTTCCAGAAATAATTCATAAATTATTTTTATTGTTGTTGTTTGTTTTTAGACAGGGTCTTGTTATGTAGTTCATGCTGGCCTTGAACTCACTATGTGGGCCAGGCTGACCTCAAACTCCGAAAAATCCCCCTGCCTCAGCTTCCTAAATTGCTGGGATTACAGGCATGCAGCACCACACATGACTGAATTCCTAAATTTAAATCATTCACCCTAGTGAGTGACGTGATGAGATCTCACGCCCCTTGCCCCCTCCTGCCCTGGTGTGGATCAGCCCGAGGCCCTGCATCCTTACCCTGCAGTTGCCAGCAGCGGTCTCGGTTACCAGACTGAATGTCAAGGGAACAGGGCTGGTGTCGCAGAAGCCCTAGCTTTGTTTAATGACAGCCCCAAAGCTCAGAGTTCTGATGCTTGCAATTTTACTACGGTTTACTATTCCGATTGTTCTTTTTACTGCTAGTTACTATCGTTAGTCTGCACTGTGCCTGACTTACAAATTGAGCCTGATCCCGTGTAAGTCTCAGAGTCATGTGGCATACATAAAGGGCTCCGTGCCCCTGGTCTCAGTGTGCACTGCAGGTCTTAGAATGCACCTCCTCGATAAGGGGGCTCTGCTGTGTTTCTTTTTTCTCCCCCTTTTATTAGTACGGTATATGTTTGCAGTGAGTAATAGATGGACTCACTGTGGGGAATTGAAACATACACATCTCTCGTCTTGATCCTACTTACTTCCTCTCCCCTCTTTCCTTTCATCGTCCCCATCCCTAGATCTCCTTCCCATCTCACTAAATCTATCCTTGTCCCCTATCACCTTTCTTTTCTTTTTCTCCTAAATGATGTATACTTGGAATTTCTCAAGCATGATATACGCAACCTTCTCTATCTGATTTATTTCACATAACATTAAGGTCTCAAGGAGCATCCATTTTCCTACAGGACTCACTTGTATCCTTCTCTGTGGCAGAGTAGTACTCCACTGTGTGTAAACACCATCTCTTCCTCTGTGAATGCGCATGTTAGCTGCTTCCCAGATTAGCTACTATGGGTGAGCGTGGATAGCTGCATTGTGTTGCCTTGTTGTATTTCTGAAGATGCTGCTTACGGGGAACATTGATGGCCGCTGGGTGCCTCTCCTTAGCCTGTGCCCTACTTTCTGCTCTGTCCTTGCCAAGGCCGAGGGAAGTGAAGTGAGACTCACAATTCTTCCCTCTGTCACCTTCCAAACACGTAACTCACTCTGCATCTTCACACCTTCACTGCCTGTCACAGTGAGAAGCTGGAGCCACCTTGATTAATCTTTCCTGTACTTACTATTTTCTTTTTTATATACTCCATACTACAGCTGCCTCCGCTCTTTGTTTTTCCCACTTTATTTTGCTAAAACTCCTCGAAAAAGTAAAATCTATTAAAAAAAAAAAAAAAGTAAGGGAGGCAGGGATGTAGCTCAATGAAACAGCACCTGCCTGGCAAGCGCTAGGTCCTGAGTTTGATCCCTGGTACTGAAAAAATAAAATAAAATAAAAAATTATAAGTAGGGGGTTGGGGAGTAGCTCAGTGGTAGAGCTTTTGCTGAGCGTATATGAGACCCTGAGTGCAATCTCTAGCACCACCAAAGAAAAGGAAAGCAAAGTAGAGCACTTGGCTGTGTCCTGATAAGGTCGGTGTTACAGCCTGCCAAAGGGAATTGGGACCCACGGGGCCATTTTCCGGGTGATGATGGATGCTTATCTTACTGACTGACAAAGCTGGATGCTACAATAATAGCTGTATTTCTTTTCTAGGATTCTTCATTTCTGGAAAAAAAAGAACGCTGCGATTACCTCAAGAGTAAACTTTCTCACATAAAGCAACGAATTCAAGACTATGACAAAATAATGAATTGGGATGTACAAGGTTATTCTTAAGCCTTACTTGGAACTTTTTTTTTTTTGTACCAAGGATCAAACTTGGGACTGTAAGCTTGCAAGGCTGCAGCAGCACCACTGAGCTAAGTCCCCAGCCCACTTGAAACTACTTTTTTATAGTCAACCTACTATTTATTTACTGCCTTTTTTATGCCAGACTCTGGTAGAGAATCAAATTGTCTTGAATCAGCTCCTAGTTGCTTAGCCAATAGATGGTGATGATCAGTGTGATTTTGCACAAACGTTTCAAAGCAAACCAGACCTGCTGAGGGCTTTCACTGAGAATGGGAAAAATCCTGGATTCATCTGCGCACTTTCCTGTTTGTCTATCTTGTTAAAAATACATTGTTGGCTTTGCAAGCACAAGGTCCTGAGTTTGATCCCCAGTACCAAAAAAAAAAAAAAAAAAATTTGTCTACTGGACGTGGTACCATGGTGGGAAGCTGAGACAGGAGGATCACTACAAGTCCAAGGCCAATGAGGGCTACATAGTGAGTTCAAGGCAGCCTGAAGTACATATTTTGACCCTGAAACCCCCCTAAAAACAAACCAAAGAATGCAGTGTTGTTGTAGAGATTATAACCTCAGGGTGTGCTGAGCAAGGGGGCTACCAGTTCTGGTACTGCTTTTTCTTTCCTCAGGCAGGTTCCTGGAATTTTTCTAGGTCAAATATCTTCCCAAAAGAAATTCTTAAGGAAAATCATTCCTTTTCTCAAATCCAGGATCAACAATTGTCAGGCTTTGTGAACTTGGGCAAGTTGCTGAACCTCTCTGTGCCTGTTTCTTGTAGGAAATGCGAGGAAGGTCATACCTGGTACTTCTGAGATGGTTATGAGGGTTGAATGCACTTGTGTTTGCACAGCATTGAGGACAGGGCCTGGTTGTGTCTGTGGATCTCTGGAAAGGTCTGGGACGTGGATAAACTCCCTAGGAAAGGCCCAAAATGAGCAAGCCCAGCCTGCTAAGCACAAGGCCCTGTGTGTCACAGCGGTCTTTTTGTGTTGGCAACTCCACATGTAGCCTTAGGCTAATGCTTCGCCATGGCTCTGTGGCTCTTTGGGCTCTACCATAGCCTCTGTGTCTTTTTTTTTTTGGTACTGGGGATTGAACTCTGGCCATTGTGCTTGCGAGGCAGGCAGCGAAACCACTGAGCTAAATCCCCAGCCCTCTTTTTTTATTTCTTTTTGTGGTGCTAGGGATTCAACCTAGTACTGAGTTACATTCACAGCCCTTTATTTATTTTTTTCATTTAAAAAATGTTCTAAGTGGTTAGTTGCCCAGTTTGGACTTGAATTTACAGTCCTCCTGCCTCAGCCTCCCAGAGTGCTGGGATTGCAGGTGTGGCCCCACACCTGGCTCCCCCTCACATCTGCAGTTAGGGTCACCGTGTGCACACCTCTGTGTGCCCATTGCCCAGCCTGTCCTACACGAGTGGATAGAAGGACAATGTGACTGTTGCTGTCTTTCCTGGCCCCTGTGACAGCATCTAGCGCCCCGTGATGCCACCCACACTAGGCTTCTCCCTTCAGTTTATGGGGAAGCTCCATCTACTAACCATCTTGGCTTTGAGACTTTATTCATAAGAAAGGTTTTATTTTTGTTAGTGTAAACAGATTTTCTTTAAAAAAAAATGATCAGACAGTGAGGTGCAGTGGTATATACTTGTAGTCCTAGCTACTTGGGAGGCCGAGGTAGGAGGATTGCTTCAGCCTAGACTAGCTTAGGAAATATAGCAAAACCCCATCACAAAATTTAATAATCGTCTTTTTTTTTTTTTTTTTTTTGGTACCAGGGATCGAACTTGGGACCTTGTACTTTCGAGGCAGGCAGTGGAACCACTGAGCTAAATCCCCAGACCCATCACCAAATTTTAAAAGTATACAAATTTTTCAGGCCTGGAGGTATAGCTTAGTGGTAAAGCACTTATCTGGTGTGTGTGAGGTCCTGTGTTAAATTCAAACACTAAAAAAAATTGTTTAAATATTTAATATATTTATTGTTATTGGCTCCCATTCAGCAGGATGTGTCTGCAGTTTCCCAGGTTTAGAAGCACAGTTTCTGCCCAATAGAGCTCTCATTCAAACAAACAATGTTCAGAGTTTTCTAAAGTGAGGCCAGAGGAAAGCACAAAGAAAACAGGGCTTAGAACGCGTTGGTCACTAACTATAAATGCTAATCTTGGAAAACCATTCTGTAACACTGATTTTTTAAGGTTTTGTTTCATGGGGTTTGGGTTTGTTTTTTTGTTTTTTTTTTTGGTACCAGGGATTGAACTCGGGTCCTTGCACTTTCAAGGCAGGCAGCAGAACCACTGAGCCAAATCCCAGCCTGAATTTTTAAAGGTTTTATACCAATAATTAGGTGAATTAAAATTTCACTTAGCTATTTGCTATTGTTTTCTGTGTGTTCTTGTTTGCATCTTAGCATTCCTGTGTTGCAATCATGTTATCCACCTCCCCACCCTCCAGAACCAGGGGTCAAACTCAGGACCTTGTACTTTCGAGACAGGCACAGTGCCACTGAGCTAAATCCCCAGCCCCATGTGATCATGTTCTTGAAAATATTTTCTCTGATCAGAAAAATAAATGAGCCAAGTATGGTGGTGCAAGTCTGTAGTCCCAGCACTTAGGAGGCTGAGGCAGGAGGATTGCTGCGATTTCAAGGCCGGCCTGGGCTACAGTTCAAGACCAGCCTGAACTGCATAGTGAGACCCTGTCTCAAAAAAGAAATAATATGTATATAGGTGATGCATTTATTTAGAAAATAAGTTCATACTCCTAACAAACACAAATAAATTGCCCATTGTTCTACCCCCAGAGATAGTTATTGTTAATTTTTGAGATACAGAGGGGTGAGTCCAGGGGCTTCACATGGGCTGAATCTCTAGCCCAGCCTGCCTTCCTGCTTGCCTGCCTGCCTTCCTTCTTTCTTTCTTTCCTTCCTCCTTCCTTCCTTCCTTCCTTCCTTCCTTCCTCTCTCTCTCCTCCCCTCTCTCTCTCTTTTTCTTTCTTTCTTAGTATACTTATACTCACTAAATTGCCCAGGTTGGGCTTGAACTTTCAATGTTCCTCCTCAGCTTCCCAGAGTGCTAGGATTACAGGCATGCACAACCGCACCCAGCTGTTATTAACATTTTAGAGCACATCTTTTCATTCTCTGCTTTGTGTATGCATTTATATGAGTATATTATGTAGAGAAAGATTTTGGTGGTATTTGAAGAAATGCCTTCCTATAATCCCAGCACTCTGGGAGGCTGAGGCAGGAAGATTTTAAATTCCAGCCCAACCTGGGCAATTTAGCAAAACCTATCTCAAAATTAAAGGGGGTGGATAGGGATATAGCTCAGTGCAAAGGCTCTGGGTTCAATTCCCAGTATTTCAAAAGAATTAATAAAATTATATTCTGTTTTCCTTCTCCTTGGCAATATCTAAATCATGTAATTTTTCTGTAATTAAAGTTTTTACGTTTTTCTCTTTCATGTTAATGCAGTTCCATTGTAGTGTATGGGTTTAAATGGACTCTTGTTTGGTTTTTGTTTTCTGAGACCAAGTCTCACAGTATTGCCCAGGCTGATCTCAAAGTTGTGGGATGGAAGGGACCTGGCCCCTTGGTGCCCCTTGGCCTCGAGCAGCTGGGGTTTGGGGACAGCCCTGTCTGGCTTTGAGGGTTTGACGTCCCTGGGATGAAAGAGCAAGGAATGGGCGGTGGCCTCAGGCAAAGCACTGAACCCCTCGAGAAAAAGGGGCCAGACCAGGGAAAGGGCCTGAGATCCTGTGGTAAGCCATTCACCTCTAAACATCCACATTTAGTTTTACACTTTTATTCTGACATTGGTGATGAGAAATTTTCATTAGCAAAAGCATAACTGATTATCAATAGCTGGTGGCTGCATTTATTATATGCTCAGGGTATCTTTGGAAGTCTGTCTGTGGGCACAGCCCACCAGCTCCCTCATGACTCACACACCCCAGTTTTCTCATTTTGGCTGACTCCCAGGTCAGTGTGATAAGACAGGGTCTAAGTCACTACATCGCCTAGACTGGCTTTGAACTTTGGCCTCCCAGAGTGCTAGGATTACAGGTGTACAACTGTTAGGCCTAGCTCAAATTTAAATAGTTAATTCTGCTTACCTTGTTGTTTGTTTAATACATAACCCTATCATTTAAATGCGGCCTGGCATGGTGGCACACGCCTGTAATCCCAGCACTCGGGAGGCTGAGGCAGGAGGATTGCTGTGAGTTCGAGACCAGCCTGGGCTACATAGTGAGACCCTGTCTCA